ATAAAAAAATGTCAAATAAGTCAAATGTAATGTAAAATGATAATACCTGTTGTTAAAAACTTAGAATGAATCTTCTGAATAAAACACTTTTTTGGTGCATAGATCCTGTCAAATTCCAAATTAAAGTCCAAACAACTTTGTTTTATAGTTTTGGGGTTTTTAGATGTAAATAAGAATATGGCTATGTAATCAACCCATAGTAAATGTATTCTTTAAAAAAAAGGCCAATTTGATTTTTTTAGAGTAAAACAAAATATTGGTGGCACATTCATTCAAATGAAGTCCTGTTTAACCATTTTAACGTGAAGTATTTAATTCTGTTTTTGCCACTCTCAGGATCTTCCAAACATGACCCCCAGCATATTAAACTGACTGCATAGATGTAGATCCTGAAAACCAAGCACTCTATACACACTCTGCTGTGTATACAACATCTCCTTGTTCCAGTACAACACTTCCCCAAATCCTGTTGGGACAAGATGAAAGGCTTTGTGGACTTGTATCACTGTAACTGCAGGTGTGGAGGCTCCCATTTCACCAATGTCACTGATGTTCACAGACACTTCCAAGGGAGGGGTGTGTGTGTGGAGGGGGCAGCGGTGAGTCATCTGCACATTTGGATAAACATCTGAAGGTTCAGTCAAATGTTTGGATACTCGAAAACCATTTGTGAGTTGGGTGATAAGTGTTTTTTACAATCTTTTCTGGCTTGTCATCAAAGAAGACAAAGCCATCACATGGCTTTATCCACACTGAGAACAATATCTGCGTGATTACTTTTCTTGCGAGGGGCTGTAAACTCAACTTTGTTGCCATGTGCATTTGCCTGTTTATATTCGCATTTTTTTTATTTGAAACAGGGAATATTACAATTCTTTGAGCTCTCATGCTTTGATAAGAAATAAAACATTTCAGCCAAAACATCACACTTCAAGGAAGATAGAAATCCATCCATGAACAGGGTGGGGGAAAAAACAAGACATTGGGAACTACAACATATTAAAAGGTATATGTAAGTGTAAACTTAGTTTAAACGGGGGGAATTAAACTCTCACACATAAATGTCAGATGGGATCCAACCTTCCCATAACCCCTGCCGGGAACAAGTGCTATAGATTTCAAATGGATGTTAATTAAACCCCCTAGAGTAGTGTTCACTTAGACCGATTAAACCGAAAAGCCAAAAATAGGTTGAAGCTACCACAGAAACTTTTAAGCTGCTACAATAATACTTGTCACAAACTCAACCGATGGTGTGGTTAGGGGACCCAAATGCAAAGGCTAGGGAAAGAAAACAAGGGGAAACAAAGATGCCCTGGAAAAACGTGGATTTATTTTAACAATATTGACGAGCTGAGTGCACTGAACAACCAGCAGATTTAAAGGGAAAAGCAGCCTGCTCATCTTTACGGACACATGGCTAAACTACCTCGTACCAAACACTAATGTGGACCTGCTGGGATTCACTGCATTGGGAACCCACAGAAGACACTAAAGCTAGTGGGAAACGGAAAGGTGGAGGCCTGATTATGTTTTTGAACCACCGCTGGGGTATCCAACATATCTCAGTAAAGACTATGTTATGCTGCCAGGACCTCGAGCTGTTAGCTGTTGGCTTGCAGCCATATTATCTGCTGGGGGAATTCAGTCACGTGATCGCCATCTGTGTTTACATTCCCCCGAGAGCGAACGCAGCCGCTGCCTGTGAGGAGATACATGCTATCACAGCCAGGCTACAGACACAGCACCCTAATACCTTAATAACAATTTTGAGTGACTTTAACCATGGAACCTTGGACTCTACTTTGGCCGTTTCCCATGAGGCTGTTGACTGCCCGATAAGAAAAAACAGGACAATCAACCTCCTATATGCTAATGTAGGGGGTGCATACAGAGCTACACCCCTCCCCCCACTGGGCAAGTCAGACCACAACCTGGTTCACCTACAGCCAAAGTACACCCCCCTTGTCCAAAAGCAGCCGGTTACAACCCACACCATCAGGAGGTGGTCCCCTGAGATGGAAAGCGCCCTGAGGAACTTTTTTTAATACCACAAACTGGGACTTGATTATTTAACCCCAGGGTGACAACATAAAGGGGATAGCACACTGTCTGACGGATTATCTGAACTTCTGCACTGGCGTGGTCTCACCTGTCAAGACAGTCTGCTACTAAGCCCTGTGTAACGCGGGGAGTCAAAGCTTTCCTAAAAAGGAAGAAGACTGCCCTCAGGAGCAGAGACAAGGAGGCCATGAAAGCAGCACAGCAGGAGGTTAAACACTGTGTAAGGGAAGCCAAAGACACCTACAGAAGCTGAGGTAAAATAACATGAGGGACGTCTGGGAAGGTGTGAGGACCATCACAGGCCACAACACAAAGACCAGGGCCGTTGAAGGGACAATGGAGAGGGCCAATGAACTGAACAAGTTCTTCAACAGGTTTGACAAGCCTGTGACCCCTCCACTGCTGGTGCAGCCATCTACCCTCCCCCCCATCTCCATCTCCTTTCCCCCCCAGCACTCACCTCCCCCCAGAAACATCACCTCCACCTGCCCCCCCACCTACCACAGCACCGCCATCCCACTCTGCTCCTGAAGGCCCCCCTAATACCATTCAGCCCTCCCTACTCGGAGACTAACTGAATAGCATGGGAGTGGACCCCTGCCAGGTGGCATGAATTTCCAGCTACCTCACAGACAGGCCACAGTATGGTAGGCTGAAACACACCATCTCTGACACTGTGGTCAGCAGCACTGGAGCCCCCCGGGGCACAGTGCTAGCCCCTGACCTCTTCACCCTATACACCTTGGACTTCTGTTACAACTCTGAGCTGTGTCACATACAGCAGTACGCAGATGACACAGCCATTGTGGGGTGTATCAGGGACAACAGAGAGAACGAGTACAGGAGTCTGGCGGGGGAATTTCCACCGGGTGCCGCACCAAGCACCTGGAGCTCAACATTTCCAAGACAAAGGAGCTGACCATAGACTTTGGGAGGAATGGACCAAAGACTAAGCCGGTACTATTGGAGGGGCCTGAGGTGGAGGCGGTGGATTCATACAAATACCTTGGGGTGTGGCTGGAAAATAACCTGGACTGGTCAAAACACACCAACCACCTGCCCAGAAAAACACAGAGCAGGATGTACTTCCTGAGGAGACTGATGTTGTTCAACATCTGTAACAAACTGTTGCAGATGTTCTGCCAGTCTGTGTTTGCCAGAGTCCTCTTCTACACCGTGTTGTGCTGGGGGAGCAGCACATCCAAGGACACCTCCAAACCAGACAAACTGGTCAGGCGAGCCGGCTCTGTGATTGGCAAGAAGCAGGACTGAGATATGGACACTTAACAAACTGCTGGAAATTGTGGACAATGCCAGACACCTTCTACACACTGTCTTTACCACTCAGAGGAGCCTGATCAGTGGGAGACTGCTCCTCCCCAAATGTAGGACCAACATACTGCTGAACTCTTTTGTTCCTCAAGCCATTACTATGTACAACTTGTCACTTGGGGGAAGGAGGAGGTGATAAGAAGAGGGACATGGGTCAAAATACATGGAAGACTCACTGGGAGGAAGACTGGAAACCAAACCAGAAGCAGAACATGGCGACATTGATCTGGTAAAAACTGAAATGACTAGGAAGCTCTTAGTGTGATTAACCGAATGAACAAGTGACAGTCTTTGTCTTTTACTTCACAATTTCCACCAACCTTCATGTGTCAACCTAATACAGCTTATTATTTTAGCTCAAAAGCCTTCTGGAATATCTCAGCAGGTGTGCATAATGAAGACATAAAGCCAGTGACCTGTATTTAAGTCATGCTAATGAAAAGTGTAGTTAAACTCAACATATATGTGGGAATTGTTGGGTTTCTGTAGTTAACTTCAGAGTAGGGTCTGACCTGCTCTGTTTGGAAAGCGCTGTGAGACAACTGTTGTTGTGATGTGGCGCTATATAAATAAAATTGAATTGAATTGAATTTAATTGAATATAGCAGATAACCTATTCTATTGTATCTTGATCTACCTCCTGTTTGAGTTATTAAAGTTGTTCTTTTTCCATTTACATTAGATGATTGTCCCATCATTTAAGGAATGTGTAAAATAAAAAAAATGCTCAAATATTACAGTAGAAATTAAACATGTATTAAGAATTGATTTAAAGGTTGTTATTTTCTTCACAACAATTTTAATTACTGGCATATTTATTGAGTTGTTCATTTCATTCTACATACTCATGTCAGTAACATAAATCTAGTTTCTTTCTAATGATTTTGTGATGTAGTTAAACTGAGTTTTTAATATGAAAATCTGTGGTTTCGTTTCACAGTTCTTCTATTAATCATTTTGTGGACATTTCAGACCATGATGATCTATTTCACAAAACTAATGAAGAAGCAGTCAGTACTCTTTCATTTATTACTTGCCTGTGAATTATTTAGTGTCAGAAAGGCTTCTGCCTGTGATTAGGTCTGCCTTCGTAATAGTTTCCCATACTTATTTTTTAAGTTGCCAAGTATGTTTATCAAAACAAAAAAGCTTAATGTGGACAGTAATCTAATGTGTTGTGCTTATGTTTGTTTGTTTTTTTCTTGGCCTGTTGCCAATGTGCTTGCATGACCACTTATTACATTGCATTATTGGTTGCATTATAGCATTGTTAGATACTCATGCCTAAATACTAGTTTCAGCCCTTATGGGGCCACCATGATGTGGTTCGCCTAGGGCTCCAATCTGGCTGTGACTTGCAATGAAAAAGAAATTTACCGTTGAGTCAGTATATAGATTAAAAGTTCTCTTTTCTTAACGGCCTGATTATTTTAACCACAATTATAATTATTTAACCACATAAAAAACTACTACTAATTGAAATATTTTAAAACAACAGAACTACAGAATTTCCTGGGACTTAACTGATGAATGGTGTGGCTCTAACTCCTCTATTACTAATTTGGACAACGCATCCGGTAAAACTTTGGCAGGCTGAAACTCACACTGTCCGGCTCCTGTTGAAGAAAGCATTGCTCTTTGCCATCCCTGCAGCCTGTTCAGCTGCTTTCCTCTCCTCAAATTCTTCCCTGCTCAGAACCATGCCCTTGTGGCCATGCTCCGCCAATTTACGAGCCAACTCCCTGCTCTGCAAGACACAAATAGGGAACAGGAATCTGTCAAGTAAAAACATTATGCTGGACATTATCAGAGGTATCAGACTTGGAATTTGGTGTGGCTGTCACCACTTGACTGCTTCACTTTGCAGTCTTATTGATGACTGATGAAATCTTACATTTTGTAAACCAGCTGTATTTTGGAATTTATTTGCCTTGCTTTCCTCCATAGATTAAATATATTTCATCACCCCCTTGTATGTAGCCTGACATACAACCCCACAATCTTTAGTTTTATGGGTTTGTGATTTCACGCTTAATCATAGTTTTATTCATGCTTTTAACAAGAGTTTATGTGAAATAACATGTGAGTCATGTTATCTTAATTATTCTAATCACTGTTTGCAGACCCACCATAAAGCCAAGCCGTAAAGCCAGCATCTAAAAAACAAATCTAGCTGTCAAATCCCTTGGCTTGTTAGATCAAAGCCCTTGCCACATGTCCACTGACACTGAATCTCAGCCTCTGGCCGCACCAGAGAGGAGAAGTTATATTTTTTGTCAACTTTGATGTGGTTCACCAGAAATTAGTCTAAGGCATGTCTTAGTCCTAAAATTGAACTTATAATCATTTTCTTTATTTTTAATTCTTGTTGAATTAATGTCATTGGATGCTCTGCTTCTCCATTCTTCGGCAACAGGGGTAATAACCATCCAACTTAACTTTGTGATATAAAAGTAGATATTAAAAAAAAGAGTGTTATTTCCAAATAAACTAAAATCAACATGGTCAGAATTGGGGCTATTTCAACATACATACATTTCAAGTCACTGATGAAATTAAGCAATAGTGTGATTAAAGACTTACTTGCAAGAGGTACAGAAGAGAGAAGGCGAAAAGAAGAATGGACAAGAAAATATTTATTACAAAGGGAGGGTTTTATTGTAAAGCAGAAAAATCAAATGAAAGCTGACTGTGGTTTTGCAAAACAATTCAAATGTACTTTACTAAAAGTCAAACAGCTCTGATATATTCTGTTGAATTAAGCTATTCAAGCAAAAATGTAGATACTTGATGAGGGATCTTTTGTGCTATGCACAACAGGTCATTTATGTAATTTAAAAAAGACTGAATAATAATTTGTCCTGAGAAAATATTACATAATTTGTTTGGCTTTTTCCAATATTTTGTCCTTTCTTCTATATTGAGATAGGAGGAGATAAACTGCTGAGTGTAAAAGAAGGATAAAACACAAAAATAACGAAAAAAGATAAAGAAGAGGGTAATTTAACTTTTTATTCCCCAGCCCTGAGAGGTCCTGATTGATGCCCGCAGCCTTTTCTGTATCGGACTGCCATCTAGTGTCTGCAAGGTGGTACTGCCTGTCGACGCCAGCAAAAGGACATGTACTTGGCATTTTGTGATGCTGAGAGTTTCTATATAAAAATTAAGAAATTAAATAAATAATTATAGTAATAATAATTATTATTGATTTTTTAAAAGCTAGACTAAATTTAGACCCGTTATAATACTTCCGTTTATTCTCTTTCAAAAAAGGTATCGTAGGACATCCGCCAATACCGTTTTATAATAGTTGATTTTGAAAAAAATGTATTGAAAAATGTAACTCGAAAATGAAGAAAATTTTAGGCTATTGCTAATTTCATTGCAATACACTTTGGGCAAAACGTAAATAGGTAAGTAAGAAGGCAAAAGCAAAAAGCAAGCAGGATTGATAAAGCGTTTTTGTTGTAGATTCGTAGCAGAATAGCAATAGCAGAATATTAATTAGCACTGATTAGTGACAATCATATTGATAACATTTTTGGGAGGGGCTTACTTTCAAGTAAGACAAGTCCACTGGTGTTATTTTAGAGTGTACATAATCCTTGTAGACTTTAAACTGTCCAAAGGAATCGTGGAAACTACTGGTCGCGCGGTACTCCATCTTCTGTCGGTTTGTAGTGTGTTGCTATGACAACTACGTCAACTATGTTCGTCGTACGTTACAGGAGGCGGAACAAAGAGGGCGTTTTTTACCCTGTTGTTTTTGGCTCTTTTCCGCATACGTATTGTATCACTTGGCTGCCATTGCCCTTTTTATGGCATTTTTGTTTAATTTTGGCGCACAACGGGATTTTTATAGCTTTGCACTGCTGTCCATCGAAACCAGTATAACAATACAAAACATTTTAAACATTTTCAATTTTTTTTAGAAAATGTTGAAAAAATGGGGAAAAAAATTGAGTTCCCACATGAACCCAGCGTCGTGCGGGCAGGTAGCTGATGCGATAAGTCATAGTGGGAATGTGTTCCTCATCAAGGATCACGCAAACTTTATCTGATCTTGTGTTCTCTTACCCAGAAATAAATCCTCATTTAATTATTGAATACCATAATGAATAAGACATGAATTAAACTCTGTTCTTCTTACTTTTTGCTCAAAAGTTTATTTCAGGCTTAGTCCATGAATTTTTTACTCAATCTATTACCAATGTTGACCGAAATATTTTGCAAGAAATATGTATTAGAAAAATTAAGTATTACCGAACAGGATATGTCTTATTTATCAAACAGCCTCAGATGTTGGTGACATGAATGTGAAAATATGATGTAGAGTTTGCATTTTTGTCCTGCTGTGTGAGCAGTGAGTTTGTGTCTTTGTCCAATAAACCCTCCTATTTTTGGAGAATATTTTTTTGTAAAGTTTCAGCTCATGGATCTCTTACCCACTGATCATAACACCACTTGACAAGGTGTCACACTATAACGTTAGCTTCCAACTACAAGAAGGGGATTATTACGGTGGCCCTGAGGTGCAAAACACTACGGTGGCCCTGAGGTGCAAAACATTACGACATTAACGAATGCACAACAACATTAATGAAAACACAACGACATGAATAAAAACACTACAACATTAATGAAAACACAACGACATTAACAAAAACACTACAACATTAATGAAGCACAAATACAAATTAAAAAACACAACAACATTAACGAAGCACAAATACAAATTAAAAAACACAACAACATTAACAAAAACACAACAACATTAACGAAAACACAACA